ACTACATGCTGTATGTCATCATTATCATTATATTGTTACCTCTTAGATCAGGATGTAGGTGCTAGAAAGCTGTGTGATTTCCCACTGCCGTCCTGGTTCCCCCGGAATTCCTGCAGCTACCCTGGATGAGGGGACTGCCTGTGACTTGTAATACATAGCCACCAACACTTCCTCTGCCTGCTGACTTGGATGCCTCTGCCTGAATGGGGGGGTGGTTCACCTTTCCCCTCCCAGCCTTGAGACCCTGAGGGTGCTCCTTTTGCCACCAGAGCACGTCCCACCTGGCTTTTAAAGAAAAAAAGGGGCTGCAGAGAAGTTTTGTTTGTTTTTTTGGCTGGAAAAACCAGTTTCTCCTTGCTTGTCCCTGGCTTGAGCCCTCAGGGCTTCTGAAGCAGGATTCCTGCCAACACCCACTTGCCAAGGGGCGGTCCTGAAACACCAAGGAGGAGTGCTGGGAAACTAGAATGGGAAGCCTTGCTCCAGCCTAGGCCGCTTGCAAGACCACACCAAGCTGAAGGAGAACCGTCCGGGACCACTGGAGCACACGGTGGTCACCACTAGACGGTTTCCTTGGCGACACCTGGCTTCCAGCCCCGAGACCGACTTCCTCTCACCTCCCCCCAGAGAGGTGTCTGCCTCCATCTCTGGCTTGAGGAAGCTTCTGAGGTTCATGCCAAGGACCATCTGTGCAGGCTCACCTGCAGGAGGAAAAGGAGGGGAGAAGGGGGTGCAGTCCTTCAACACTCGCACCAAGAAAATGCCAAACAGCCTAAGTTTATCCGTAGCACCTCCCGTGGCTCTAGCCTTGCCAGGTGTCTGCTGGGGAAGGGAGACAGAACAGATGCTGGTCTTCTGAGCTTCTGGAATGGTGGTGCTTCTAACTGGCAGTAAAAAAAAGAAAAAAAAAAAAAAGAAACTCTTGGGTGGAAAATTACCACCAGCTCCATTAAGAGTAGAGCACAGGAGAGAGGCTGACTCAGAGCCTCAGGTGACATTGTGTTTCACCTCAGGGAGTGGGTGACTGTCAGAGATGCTGGCGGGACCTCCCAGGCACAGGGCGAAGAGGGCAGGAACACAGGTGGGTGGGTTTTCTTGCTTCATGCACGAGATAGGAGACCGAAACTACGTATGAAAGGTAGATTGTTGCCGCTCTAGGTCACAGAATCCTAACACCTTAAAGCAAGCGATCATTGGGTCCAAATTCATTTCAGAGACGTGGACACGGAGGCCCAAATGCAAGTGACTTGCCCAAGGCCGCGAAGTGACACAGCCACGCTGGGATGTAGGTTCTTGGCTCCTACCCTCAGTGCTCTAGGCATGAGTGGATTTTATATGCAGGGACAGAGCTTATTATGTAAGGCGGTTCAGTGGAAAGCCCTGTATCAAGTGATTAATGAACTCTTCTCTCTTCCAGACTCTTAGATGTTAGTTTTAGGCTCCTGTGGGCCAAGTCATAGTTACCCGTGAAACACAGTCTGTATACTTAGCTCTCTGTGGGATAGGACCAACTTCTACTTAATTATGAAACTAAAAATTCTGGTTGTCATTACAGTATAAGAAATATGTGTAGCATATAAAATAAGGAATTGCACACACACAGACTTGGAAAGCAAAGACATCTCATGGCTCTCTTCATGGATCATTTCTCTTTTATGAGAACTTTGGTTTTAATCAGCCCTGGCTAATTCTCTACTGGCTATAAAATTCAGGCCCTGCCCTCTGCCTGATGCCAGAGGCTCTGCCTCCAGAGGGTGGGCTGCGGCAGCCGCCAGGAGGACCTAGGGTGACAGGCCTCCAGAAGTCCCCTTGTTCTGGCCCACCTTCTAGAGTGCAGGAGAACCACTGGCTGATGCACTGATCTTCCAGTGATAGGAGTATTTCTTTGGGGGATGTTTGAGAAAGAAGTCTCTAGTTCCTACATGATTTTTCTTCTCAAGAATGAAGGCAGAGCCCCCAAGAGGCCAGAACCAAGGCTGGCATCCCAGCACCTGTGTACCTTGGATTTGGTGCTCAAGCAAAGCCACCAGGGGGCATGAGAATGAACACACACACACACACACACACACACACACTCTCTCTCTCTCTCTCACGTGCACAGCTACGCAGAGAGAGCCCTTCCTGATTCAGCTATTCTACTCACTCGTGGGGACATACCTTAGAGAAACTTGTACACGGGAACAAGGGGACATGCATGAGAATGTTCCTAGCAGCCTTATGATAGAAAAAACAAAGAAAGCTCTAAATGTACGTTACTAAGAGAATAGGACCGTGGCCTCTCCGTACCATGGAATAGGATAGAGCAGCAAATACGTAAGTCAATAAATAAATAAACAAACAAGCTAGACCTACATAGGTCTGCAGGGGTCAAGTTCAAAATTTTCATGTGCGGCCCAAATAGTGGGATGCAAGTTAAATAAAGTTTAAAACGCAAAAGTACTCTTTGGCTGCTCAGGGTTTATGTATACCTGGAGGGAAGGGGTGAAGACACGTTTGGGGTGGAGAGAAACGTGACGCTCTCCTGAGTGAAACCAAGGGGACTTCGATGGCATTCGTCAAGGTTTCTAAAACTGGGCGGTGGGTAATGATGAGTGTTTATCAAATTATTGTCTGTGCATCTGATGTGTCTCAAATATGAAGCGAAAAGAAAAAAGAAAACACTGGGCCCCTGACCCCGCTGGAAATTATTTATTTACCACTGAGAGATTTTTGCTCCCAAGTGTGACACCAGACATATGACTACAATGTCTCATGCGTCTTTTTGTGCTTCAGTTCATGATCGAGAAACAAATACACACTTAGCACTGACAACAAGAAACACAGGCAGCAGAAACAGATCACAAGGACTAGGTCTCTCTTTTGGGGGTCTTCGCCTCAGTTTGGCTTACACTGCAGCTTCCTCCCCTTCAGACCCCTCTACATCCCCAAGAAACTGCCCCCGGAGAGCCTCTTCTGCATCCTCACCTCTCTACATAGTGTCCTTTGGAGTGACGGGTCCCTCAGCCCATGCCAAGGATTGTATCTCAAAGTGAAATGGACAGTCCTGTGCGAGGCCTGGAGCAATGGGCACCTGGCAGATACACGCTGATTTGATGTGGGCAGTGGAGCCACAGGTTAATGAGGGTGGGCTCCCAGTTCTCTATCCCCTTCACTGTATTTAGGAGAGAACCAGGTGACCTCGGCGGCCCCAGCCTGGTCTATGGTGGGTTCTCCCTTTATTTTCACCTCGCTCCATGCCCTTTTTAGAAAACGCTCCCGGCAAAGTACAAGGTGTGCCTTTCAAAAATGATCGGTTGATTTCACCCAGACCCGCTTACTCTAAGCTGGTAGTAAATTGAGAAGGGATCTGGTACAAGGCACCCAGATGCAAAGATTCCTCGAGTCCGTTGATGTGGCAGCCTGATGTCTCTGGGAAATTTAAAATTCACCAAGACAGAGCTCTGCTGGAAAACCACAGCAATTATATCCTCCTCTATTGTTCATTACACTTATACGGAGGGCTGTGAATTGTCATCAGATGGCTGATGCTTTTACCATGGAGAACTCAGGGCAGACTGACCTTTATGCCACTTACAGTGTCTTTCTCTGTCTGGTCCCCCATCTATCCCGCACTCATTAACTCATTCAACAGATATTTATTGAGGGCCATCAGCTAGCTTTATTCTAGGTTCTTGGAACACCCCAATGAAGACAACGGACAAAACCCCACGCAAGACCTCCCTCGTTCCTGCGCTTGCCCGCTAAGTGAGGTGGTGGTCGACACTGAGATGTTTTGTGCTGGCACTTGACTCCTGTCCAGGGCAACCTTGAGTCTGGATTCTGGAAAATGAAACCCTTAAGACACAAAGACATGGATGCCTGTGATGGAAAGACCATAGTCTGTAGAGCTGATGTTTCTGGCTCAGTCTACCTCCAACACCCTTCAGTGTAACTGTGAGGCAGGTGAATAGATTTTATAAGGAAGCAGAACTTGTGTTTCCTGAGGTTAAGTCCAGAATCCAGACTTTTCTACACTGTAGTGGCGGGTGTTACAGAGAGGAGAGTACCGGCCAGCCCCCAGAGGAAATGCTTTGTTTTCTTGGGGCCATGCTGGCCAAAACCAGGAGGTCAGAGTGTGCGGGGAGTCTTAACAACATGCCATAGGGAATCACCAACAAATGCTTTGCCTAAAAAAGTAAAAAAAAAAAAATGTTGGCAGGAGGTGACTAACCTTAAGGGGCAAACTCTCCAATTACCTGAAAAACGTGCCAATTAAACAGGGATTCGATATTTTTTCTGTCTCTTGGGATGATTTCTTCTTCTGCACAGAAATGGAAAATCATGACCAAAGGTGATGAGGTGCCCGCTCCGATTCTTAGGGAGAGGCCAAGAGCGGCCTGACTCGTCACAGGCCTGAAGCAGGCCCTTACCCACCTCACCCAGGGGTTCCCTTGCAGATGACAGGACTGTGTGACATTTGAAAGCCCAGAGCCTAGGTGTCAGTAGCGAGGAGCCCAAATGCAGAATCCATAGTTCTGTAAGTGCCTGGGATGGTTCTGGTCCCTTCCAGTCACTGTCAGCTGCCATCGTGAGGCTTAAAGGTGACCTGCCTGGGGCTGTGCTTTGTTTCTAGCAGAGAGCGCCTCCGGTGTTTGAGCTCTCTTTCATCTGCCACATCATTCACAGAGACAGAGCTGCCCCGTCATTTGTCCCATCTGACAGACGGCCAACAACAGAACCTGAATCCTGGTTCCTGGGCAAATGGTATACCCAACAGCGAGACTCAGTGTCTAAGGGACCACGTGGACAGCTGTTTGGAATAAGAAGGTAGGAATTTGAAGCCAAGTTGCTGGTTACTTACTGATGAAAGTGGCAGGCCCTGAAAATTGAGGGACACACATTCGCGCAAGACTTTTTTCCTATTTCAAGTTTCCTTCTTCGGGCACTTGTAGGCAGCCAGATAGAACATCCTAAATCAACACATGCCTCTTATTCCTCCTGCAGTGGCTGGAATGCTGAGATGAATCTGTCTCAGAGGGTCACTTTGGTGATGCTGGTGCGCGTGACAACAAGCGCCTCGTGACAAACAGGGGAATCCCACCCACACCTGGTCAAGGAAGATCTCCCCAAGGATAACAGAAACGGACTTTGAGTTAAAACAACAGAGTTCTTCAGTAAAAAGCACAAAGTCCAGTCCAAGAACAGGATCTGAAGAGCACAAAGGAAAAGTATTAAGAATTAAAATGATTAAATTAAAAAGAAAACAAAACCAGAGGCCTCCCAAATTTCACACTGACAGTTGAGATGTCCAGCCTCGGAACCGGCTGCCCCAGGGTATTGGGAGTCCCGACAAGGACTGGGGAAACCTGTCTGGAATGTTGTAGAAGGGATTTCTCCCAGCGCAGTGCTCCAACCTCGGCATCAAAACCGCACGGAGCTTGATAAAAATGCAGGTGCTGGGGTCGTGGCCAGGAATACTGATCTGGAGTGTCAGCGGGTGGGTCCAGGGAATCTGCTGGTGATTCTTCACACACTAGGGTTCGAGAACCACTGGGTGACAGCCTTGGGTCAGGGGCACACTGTCATGCTGGCTGAGATTTCATCCCACCCTTTCCCTTTCCCAATCCCTAACTCTACGAGTTGATCCAGGATGCTTTATGTCCTCCACCATTTTTGAAATGCTCGTTTTTAAAGAGCCACATTCTCTGCACTCATTCTTCTTCACGTTATGCGTTCTCTGCATCAGGCCTGAGTCCACCTGCCAAAACTGCATGTGGTCTGTATTTGACAAGTGTCTCTGCAATAGCACAGAGGAGCACCGTACTTTCCTCGGTGCCACCCGAATGTCCCGTTTCCACACACCGCCCCACCCCGCCCTGCTCATGTTTTGGAAAGACGAGTGTGCTAGGAGAGGCATGGGGTCCCAGCCTTTGCAAACACATCTGTCTCCTGGGTGTCAGAATGAGGATGGGGCACAAAAAGGACGTTGCAGAGGACAGCAGGGCTGGAGGGGCGGGGAGGGGCCTGGAAGGGGAGGAGCCCGGGCGGCTGCCTACAGATGCAGCTGGTGCCACATGGCGATCTGCCGGCGAGGGTTCTTGAGCATCTCCTCCCAGTGGCTGCGCTCAGAACCCGAGGCGTGCAGGCCCAGGCTGCAGCGACCAAGGGCACAGCTTTGCCCCTCCTCATCCTGGCCCAGCACCTCCAGCTCCACACTGGAGGCCTGCAGCAGCTCGTCGGGCAGCTCGAACATGATCATCTCATTCCATACGGGGTTGATCTTGTGCTTGGCCCGTTTTGTCTGTTTCTTCTTCAGCTTCTGTGCCTGGTGCTTTAAGGTCACCTTGACGGAGACATCTGGGGGAAAGAGAGACGGAAAGGTGAGCCTGTGGGGTGTGGACGGTCCAGGATAATGCTCTGATTGAGGGCTGGAGAGACAGGGTCCCTGGCTAAAGAGGTACCCTAAGGCTCCCTCTCTCTGCACCCCCTCTGCCGGCGCCACCCTCCTCACTGGGCCACGCATTCATTCAGCAATGATTACATGCTCACTGTGAGGCACTAGACATAGGGTTACAGCAAAACTTCCTGCCTCCGTAGAACTTAGGCCATAGTGTGGAAAACCCATGATAGTACGACACACCAAGGTGGTCACTGGGTAGCCCATGACTGGGTCAAGCTGGAACCACTACCTGCTATGAGCCCTTCCAAGAGTCTTCATGTCCCACATCAACCCAGATTCCAGATAGTGCCTCCGATGTACCACAACTTGACCTTCAACTCAACCAGCAAAACAAAGCCATCCCCAATATTCATCCCCTTGGTTCTCCCTCCCAGCATTTTTGTTGATTATTAAGATAGAAGGTCTCCTGCTGATGGGTTGAGTTCTTCTCCTTTGTTGTTTTGTAAATGTTACTAGAGCAGCCCGGCTTCATGTGGAGGGTGAGAGCCGACTGCCCAGGCCCCCTTGGGTTCTGGGCCAATAGAGCTGCTCCCCACTGCCTCCCCGACAGTAGCACGGGTCACAGGACAAGCCTGCATGGAACCTCACTAGGCTCCAATGCTGAATTACGTTTTCATCAGTCAAGGTTCCCGAAGCTAATGGGAAAATAATTGTTCCTTGGTATTTATGGTGATAATTATCACCCCCATGCGGCTAGTTTGTTATTTCAGCAGATAGATTTGAGAGACAAAGTGTTGTGTCGTAATTGTCCTGACAGGAGCTGTACAAAAAAAAAAAAAAAAAAAAAAAAAAAAAAGGAGCAGGAGGCAAAGAATTGTCTGGAGGGAATGAGGAAAGGAGGCACAGAATTCTGGCCTTCAGCTGGGGGATCTGGCGGCAAGACCAGCTCTTCTGATTTCATTTGCCCAAAATTGTTTGCTCAGAGATTCTGAACACGGTGGTAATTCTTTTTTTGCGTCCTGCTATAAATACCTGGTTATTTATATCCTGCTCTGAGCACTTGGCTTGGGGTCCAGGTATCATACTGCTAACCAGTGCTGCTTTCCTGCTCCGACAAGAGAGCCTGTTTGGTCCCCAAGACTCGGGGGGCAGGTGTCTATCTGTGTTGGGGTATCCAGAAGGAAAAACTGAGGCTCCCAGAATGTTGGAGAGAGGCTTACTTGGGTATATGGGGCACAGACGCCCTAAGCTTCAGGCCTTCTCAGCCCATGCACCCACACACCTTCTGCCAGCGCCCACACTCAGCTGGTGTGGGGGCGGCAGCTCAACAAAGACTGAGAGGAGAGAAGAGACTGGGGTTGGGTGCGGGGCACACAGGGATGGTGAGCTGGGATGGGACGACCGCCCCGCCTTCCGGACACCTGCCGGTGAGGTCAGTACAGTCCCGTGTGGGCAATGGGCTGAGCTAAGTTTCCTCTCTACAGCCCAGGTACTATGCTCTGTGGCTTCCTTGGTTCGATCCTCTGCTTCCTCTGACCCACGGGTTCTCTGCACGTGCACCTGCAGGGTCAGGAACTCCAGGTGACTCGGACCCGGGCCCGATGAAGGACTGGCCTGGGAGTATATGGAAATGAATGTAAGGAAAGGAGTGTAGTCTCACTTACCCTTCCCCAGGAGTGCCTTGGACTGGTTAGAGTGGAGGTTCTTGGCCTTAATGAGCACAACCAGGAGGCGGTTGGCAGCCGGGAGATAGCTGATGGACAGAAGGACCTCCCCAGTTCCTGCAGACAGCTCCTGAAACAGAGAAGAAGATGAAGGAGGGGGGCTTCTCTTAGGGGTGGCTTCTGACCCATCAGCTACCGCTGAGGCTCGGGTCCCACTGGTCTTGTATCCAATAGGCATCCTAGAAACCCTTCACCCACCAACACTGCTTTCTCGCAGAAGGGAGGAGGGCACAGAGGAATGATATGGAGTGTGAGCTTCAATAAGAGGTTTCCATTTGCTACAAAATGTGGTTTTCCAAATATCATATATTCAAACCTGACATATAAAACAGAATGAAGAGACGCCACTTAGGACGTGGCAGGAACAGAGGGTCAGGACCCCTTCTCATCCTTCAACTTTCCCTCCCACAAGTTCTTGGAGTATTTTTAAAGAACACTGGGGTTCTAGGGGACACAATTTGAGAACCACTGCATCGACCGGTCGGGCTCCAGGGGCCGCGGAGAGGTGTGATTCATTACTCTGAGAAGATAATTCCTTCCAGCCCCTATAGGGCTGAGAGACAATAACGTGATGACAGATGCTGAGTGCAGCCCTGCTCAGTCAACAGAATGGCCAACCGTGTCAACAAAAAAGCTGGGCACGTGATGGTAGAGAGGGCACCAGAGGCCACTGGCAATAAGTACACTCTGTGGGGGGCCAGACGCCTCTGCGAAGCGTCCAACACACTTCGCCTCTTTGGTGGCTTTCCAGAGTGTCTTTTCCAGAGTGTCTCCGACAAGCAATTGTTTGGAATTTCAACAAACCCACCAAGGGACAAAAATGACCCAAAGAGCCCCCCCAGACCCAGGAGGCAGATGTCCATCACAGTCCCAAGGCGGTGAAAGTGTGTACGCCCTAGCCCCGGACCACAGAGGGCTGAGAAATCCTGCCTTCCAAGCGCTGTCTGTGCTTTAACATGTGACTTCACTTCCCCAGGCCTCCAGAGCCTCATCTGTAAAATGGGAATAATAATACATCCACCCAGTGAGCCTGGGGCCCACATGAATCGCTGTGGAACTGTCTGCTCAGAAGATCACCATCAGTCATCGAGGAAGGACAATCCTCATTTTTCGAGATGATTAAGTGGGAATATTGTTTCTGGATGAATAGGAGCCAGTGTGGGCTTTGGGAGTGAGGCAGGAGGAAGCTGGCCAGCCCTCTGCCCAGGTCACCCCTTTTCTCCAGGGTGGGGGGATGTATGCAACATGACCCCACTGACCCCAAAGATTCAACTGGCCCTAAGTAACTAGTCACATGACAAAATGATTTGGGAGCTACCAGGGACTCTTGCAAGGGCATGAATAATAGCTGTGAAGACTATTTAAACGCTTACTGTGTGCTAGGTGCAATTGTGTTACCGATCCCGCTAGGCTGGGGCTCCACAAAGCCCTTCCCCAGAACGTAGCCTACAGCTGACACGCAATAAATGTTTGCAAGTAAGTAGGGGGAGACATCCTGCTGAATCTTGACAATCACCCTGGCGACACTAACTTGTTCCCATTCTGAACATAAGGTCTTGACCCTCCAGAGGGCACATCGCTGCCCGAGGTCCCGCAGCCCAAGGAAGGGAAGCAGCAAAGCGAAGCCTTAGTGCAGGTCTGGCCTGATGCCACAAGCCCAAGTTCTAACCCGGAGCTTTCCCCGATGAAGCAGCTAGGCCCAGGGACCTGTCCAGGCACCCAGAGGGATGTGCCCAGCTTCCTGGCTCCAGACCACTTCTTGGAAGTCCATGGTGGGCCTGGGCTGTAGTCACAGGACAATCTGGCTTCCGTGTCCTGCTCCCCCGAAGCCAAGCGGGAAGATCCTGGGCGCGTCAGCCTGTGAGGGGCTCGTTCCCTTCGTGCTGGGGTGCCTAGAGCCCCGGGGGAGACCCCTGTCTGTACTAGACCGATAATTTTAGCAGCCCCTGCCCCTCGGCTCTGCAGCCTCACCCTGCCCACCAACTTGCTCTTAGGCTCTCAATGAATTATCCAAGATGCCCTTGGAGAGGGGGGTGCTCTACGATCCCGGGTGACGCCACTGTTTGGCTAAGTGTCTTCCGGCGAGAACCGGGGCACAGACGGCCCCTGGGTTAACCCATTCTGGCCTAGAGGAGAGAGGCCTCAGGGCTGTGGTCACGGAGGGTTCGACCCACCTTTTTCACCTCAGCCCACAACCCCAAGCTGGGGCCAGGGCCACCCCTTGAATGACTGCTGTGCCCCAGCTCCTGGCACAGGGCCTGGCACATGCTGGAAATTGGGCAAGGTGTTCCCAGGATGAAGGGATGCATTTTGCTCTCCTAGGGGAGTGACAGCAGGTCTGAGCCTTCTGGCTGGAAGTCCCCGAAGCCCTGGGGAGGCCCTCCCCCTCCAGAGAAAGTTGGTTTGGCAGCTGAATGGACCACAAGTGTCCGATGTTCTCCCCATCCCCTGCTCCCCCACCCCAGGGCTGTGATTCCGCTCGGGTCCCAAATCGCACACTCATTAGGGATCCTGCTGCAGATCAGCCTGGCTCCAGCGGAGAGTGGCTGTCAATTTTTATCAAGTGTCTGTGGCTGGGAAAGAAAAAAATAAGGTGAGGAGGAGATGATAGCCTAAAGGGGGGCCAGCGGGGAGTGAAAGTGTCCCTCAGGAGAGGTCCCCTCGGAGGGGGCCTTGTAGGCGGTGACCAGAGGGCAGCACCAGACTGAGTGAGCCAGACCCAGCTGGCTGGAAAGCCGAGCTGGCAGTGTCCCAGCTGGGTGACCCCAGGCCCCACCCCTGTAAATGAGTCTCGGTGTCGTTCCTGCCTAGCTGCTCTGGGAAAGGACTGAAGTAAAATTCTAAGCACAGCAACAGATGAACAGAGAGTAAGTACTCAAAAATGAATGCCCTTTGTAGTATTTTTATTACTCGAGCATAGCAGTCAGCAAACGTTTTCTGTAAAGGGCCGGGGAGTAAATACGTGGGGTTTTGTAGGCTATGCAGTCCCCCCATAAGGCACTGATCCGCTGGTTGAGACCAGTCCCCGGAAGGCTCCCGCTAGGCTGCACTGTGGCAGACCCTTGAAGGAGGCCTCGATCCTAAACGATCCTAAATGATCCTGATTTAGGCCTTGATGGGCTAAATAACCACATACCATCCTTCGGCCTTGAGATCTCTGACCCCTCACTGCTGGGCCTGTGAGGAATACCGGTTTGTTCTCCAAGAACCCCCGCCTGAACAGCTCAGCCTCTCGGCAGACCCTTCTCTCCCTCTCTTAGCTCCCGCAGCAGCAGAGGGTGCGGGGAACCAGGGCTAGGGGCCCCAGAACACTGGGCTCTAGGGCTGCCCCCAGCCCAGTCCGTCCTTCAAAGCCCAGCAAAAACACCACTTCCCACCATGCCTTCTAGAACTCTCCATCAGAGCACTTCGGTTAGGTGTCTTAGGATTCAACCTATGTCCCACATCATCACTCGTCTGCTCCAATTTATCTCTCGGTCTGTAAGTTCTAGGGATAAAGGCGTCCTAAGTGGTGCCCGTCTCCCCAGCAGTGCCTGGCACATAGGAGGGACACAGGGCGTGTACATGAATTCAGATGGGGTATTACTGTCAGCATTAGAATCCACACACTCATAACACACTCATAACACATTTTCCACAATGGCAAGCAATCTAGAAGCAAATCAGACACCGGGAATTCCACAGCCTGGGCTGTGGTCTGCTGCAGCCCTCCACCCCGTCCACGACTCTCATCTTCCTTGCACGCACATGCATGCACGCGCGCCGGGAAGGTCTGTGAAGCTTGCTGCGTGAGCACCGGCCCAGTCCCATCACCCCAAGTTCCACCAACAGGTTTCACTTTTCCTGGAAAGACATAACCCTACCTTAACTGAAGTCTTCAGCTCACCCCACTGGGCGGCCCCCAGAGGCCCAGATGCCCCATCCAGGCCCAGGCAGAGCTCCCCGAGCACGCTGTGGCGGGAGAAGCGGTCGCAGGTCCGCAAGGTCAGGCGCAGCGTGGCTGTGGGGAGCTCCTCCTCCGCCAGGGGGAGCACCAGGCCTTCCTCCCAGGTGGTGTGCAGCTGCCGCTTCTTCAGCGCCGTCTGGGCCTCCACTGTGCCGGTCCTGTTGGCCACACTGCCTTGCACGTAGCAGTCACAGCCTCCATCGTGGCCGCTGGTCACAGCTGCAGCCAAGGAGACAGCAACACAGTCGTGGGACTTCGCAAGAACTAGGGGAGGGGGGCGGCTCATGCTGGCTTGGAGTGGCCGTGTCCAGCTTCACAGTCATGACCCCAGGAGCACAGGAGCCCCCAGGCTGACCACCATGGCTTTGCGGAATCACCCTAGAAACTGGAGCTCCCCCGAGGTAGCCCATGTCAGCTCATGCTGGTTCCTGGGAGAACAGGGACAGGATAGGGTCCTTCCCAGAGCCCTACCCACCTCATGACCCTGATGTGTCCCCAAGATGCCAAGACCCACGAATGGCGATGACTTCTGTGCTCCGATCCTGTTCTTGTTTGTTCTATACCTTCAATATTTACCACACAACCGTTTGTGACCCACATCGCTTGGCCACTACCTCTGTCGTTTTCTCATTCTGAACTCTGGTGTTTTTAATGCTTCCCAAGGTGGGCTTATTCCAAAAACTTATACCCCTGGTGCTTTTATGGCTGGCTACTCAATGATCACCTGAGAAAGGGTAGCTGACCTTTCCCAAAGAGAAGGTGAAGGACTGAGGCCACATATCCCGCTAGTACTCTCCACCGGGCTCCAAGGGCACTGGGTTTAGTCCTGGCTTTAGCACCAATAGCGGGAGCGATCTCAGACAAGTCACACCTAGTCATCTAGGTTGCTAGACCTCAGTTACCTGATCTGTTAAATGGGACTATTGTGAAAACCAAATGCACTCAAGGATATGAAAAGGCTAAAAAATCTTGAAAGAGAATAATAAAGAAAAACACCCCCTAAAAACATAACATTTAATACAAAAGTCTAATTTCTCCTGCTCACAGCTCCCAACTCCCAGGAGCCATAGAATGGACTATTGTTAGCCCCAATTCTTTAGCAAAGCCTCAGCTTTGTTTGCTGATGGCAAAGTGAACTGTTGGGGTTGGAACACCAGGGACATCGTGACCCCCTTGGAAAGACCACCCAGTTCCTGGATTACAGAAACTTTGCTGCCCATTCAGAATACCCTTCATATCCAGCACAAAGCTCCATTCAATGTCAAAGGCACCTGTGACAGAGAGAGCTAGCTAGTCACCCAAACCCCCTTTCCTCTTTCTGCTGAGCACCCACTGAGCCACACTTCCCAGGCTCCTTCGCAGTCAGTGACCATGAGTTCCAGGAGTGAGCGGGAGGGATGCATGGTCTATGCAGGTCATGGCTTTTAAGGGGGAGGCTGTGCTCTCTCCTCCTTCTCCCTCTGTTTCCACCTGCTAGACACAGATGACAAGGAGACCTGAGAGGACTGAGGGGCCCCTGATGGAAGGAGCCCGGCCTCTGAATCACCACTTGGAGTAAAGATGTTTGCTAACCAGGATTCTCCACTTTGGATGTTCTATTGGAGGAGGGGAGAACCCCACACATTTCAGGGTCTGTTGGTTACAGAGTGCTCCCTCTGCCACAGGTGCTCCCATCCCTCCCGCCCAGCTCCTCCAGGGGAGATGGGCACATGGAAGCCCGTGGAAGTCAAATAAAATAATACCTTCCAGACGAGTCACAAACAGTTCTGCCTTCTGCCGGTCATAGTCCACACGGTAGTGGAGTTTGGGGGCTTGGTTCCAGCTGGCGGCCTTCTCCGGGTTCCAGGTTTCCATGACACACACATCTTCAACCACACCTGTCAAGAGAGGGAAGGCCGTCACTGCCACCTCTGTTAGGGTCCCGTTTTCCAGATCACAGCTTTCCCATCTGCCACGTACACCATGAATGCAAACTGAAAGCTCCGTAACTGGGGGGCCAAATCGTGGTGGCCACACCAGGGTGACACCGGTGGTCCCAGGATGACATTTTGAAGGACTGTCCCCACCCAGTGGGCAAGACACAGGCTTTGGTGTCACACCTTGTTGCCCTGTAATAGTTATGTGACCCTGGACTTCTCAGTTTCCTCATCTTTACCATGGGAGTGATCATAGTTCCTCCTTCCTAGAGTTACTTGCACGAAATGAAATAAAGTGGGGAAAGTACTTGGCCCAGGACTCAGCCCCTGGTGAACTTTCGAGAAGGGAAACTGTCAGAGCGTGTGTGGTCCAGGCACCCTGCTTCAGGCAAACCAAGCTCAGGTCTCCAGCTCCGCCTCTCCTGGAATCTCATCCTTGCTCCGCAGGCTTTCACGGACAGAGATCAATGTGAGAGAAATGAATCAGGAGGAGATGCCGGGGTCAAGGTCAGGGGTTGTGGACGTGACTTCAGTGCAGGTGCAATAAATGCTTGTGGAACCAATGAATGACCGCAGCTTTATTTCAGACGTTCCTAAACCCACCAAGATTGCTCACTCGGCCTCCCTTGCACTGGAGCCAAACGTCTGGAAGACTGCCATCACTCTAACACACTCCAAGAATTAGAGGTTCCAGCAGCTGTAGCAGACGCCACTTGAGGCAGATAGGAATTTTAAAAATTTTGATTTTCAGAAGAAATTTAGAGAGTAGCTACTTGAAGGACCATTGAACTTCCTAAATGGCTCGCTATGAGGTTCGTGCAAGTGGTGAACAATTCTCCTGATGTCTAAGTCAGGAACAGATTGACCAGGCTGTGAGCAACGCGTAAAGTGAGACCAACACACACACAGGACCCATGTGGCTTCTGAGAGTCCTACACAGAGGAACACAGCAGGGTCAAGGACAGAAAGGGCCTGCCTGGCACCCAGAGCTCTCTGCTCTCAGACGACCTTAGCCTTCAATTTCAAAACCAAACCAAAACCAAAACAAAGCCAGCATCACTTGGAAATGCGGAATGGATTCAGCTTCTAGAAGCAGGACGCTGAGCCCCACGGGGGGTGCTGGGGATCATTGCGGGTAGGAGTAGGACATGTTCAGCATCCCGGAGACAACATCCAATTGATCTGGCATCCCCCTCTGTGGCACACCCATGCCTGTGGTCAATATTTGCTGAAGAATTAATTCTTGATAGCTTTCTGTAGGGCTGGTGTTTGGCTTCTGGGGGGAGAAAGAAAAAGAGGAATGATGACCACGAGAAGATGAGCTAATGCTCTGAATTTTTCAAAGTTCCAGACTTTGACATCCTCTCCTGTTCTTCCTGGTGGAAAGCATCCAATCCTGGCTTCATCTGGGCTTTGAGAAATTAGGACTCTGACCATCCACCCTCAAGGCTCCTTATACAAGCTCTTCCTCACCCTCCAAGTGTAAGCTCTTGAGTCCTCAATGGGTCTGTTTTCATCTATTTAAAATGTAGGTCTCTCAGGGCACCTGGGTGGCTCAGTCAGTTAAGCCTCTGCCTTCGGCTCAGGTCATGATCTCAAGGACCTGAGATCGAGCCCTGCATCGGGCTCTCTGCCCAGCAGGGAGTCTTCTTTTTCCTCTTCCTCTGCCCCCCACCCCGCTCATGCTTTTCTCTCTCTCCCTCAAATAAATAAATTTTTTAAAAATCTCTAAAATAAAAATAAAATGTAGGCTGGAAGCTAAAAGTGGAGCAGCTTCGTTCATGCCACAGGCACTATGTGAATTTGTTCTTGAAGAAATGCCGGACTAATCACTGGTCCTGGGTGGGTTTTGGAGGGGGCGCTGTCCACCGGCCAGAATGAAATACAGTTGGACCCAGGCCAGAAGATGCATAAGAATCGGGGTCCATGCCAGAATCAGTTCACTGATTCCTCTTCCACCATCTCTGCCTCCAACTACACAAACAAAATCCCCAAACCACACAACAACCATTCTCCTGGTTGTATTTCTTGCCTCCTTGTGAAAGCCTGCGTGCTCCTTTGGTTTAGGGATGGTGTCTGCTTTGCACACCTGCCCCAGTGCCCAGCATAGCGCCGTACCCCTGAAGGTGTTACATCTTGAAGTCCACAATGATGAGAAGGAGAAGAGGAACACCATAGTAACAGTGTGCTGTGATTATGTCCTTTGTGCCACTCCCTGGGCTGAACACTTTACACGCATTATTTTATTTACACTTCACAACAAGCCTATGGGGCAGATGAAAGTGCAATCCTATTTTATGTATGAGGAAACTGAGGCCCAGAGAGGTTAGCAACATGACCAAGGCCACCCAACGAGTACATGAGAATTGAACCCATGACTCTGAAAGCCTGTGATCTAATCATTAATCAGGACTTCTCTACAGACTTGAAAAGGACTCTCCATTGCCCAGTGGGAAGCTGGAGGCCCTGGAGGGAGGCACTGTAGCAACATATCTGGGGGAGTAAAGCACTGTGGTTCCGAGGCCCCGGGCCCACCTGCTTGCCCAGCACCAAAAGCTACGGACTGACGCTGGGGCTGGGCTAGGCCCAGCATCTACAGGGAGGCCGCTAGACCCGCCCCCCGGAGTGCCACCTTGGGGGGAACCAAGGGCAGGAGACCCCTACCGTTCTGAGGAAGGATGAACAGCTCCTCCGTGACCTGCCTCTTGAGGCGGCTGTCCTTAGGGGCCTGGGGGCTGGCAGGGACAGCGGATTCCTCCGTGGTCCTCAGAGTGTAGTCTGCATAGTTGATGACCTCCGGGGCTGTGACAGCTGGCCTGGGTCCGTAGATGTCTGGGAACTTGAGGAGGGCTCGGGGCTGCACGGGCTCCGTGGACTTTTTAACATTGAACTGCAAACACACATCACTCTGCTTAGTCCGCTAGAGGACCTCACACCTGCATGCCACCCACAGAAAGGAGACGCTATGACCTAATCTGTCACGAGGGGCAGAGTGAGGCCTGTGGTCCCTTTCTGCTCCAAGGCGAGGCACCCCAGAAGTCGAAATGTCACCTCCAACCCCACCAGAATCCATGACATCATGAGCGGTGGCAGGGCCCGGTGAGATTTGGGCCCTGTTCAACCATCCCTCCTTCCCCTGACCCTTGTCCTCTGCTGAGCCCCCAGGGGTTATCCCCCGGGCCACTTGTCTCTGGTCGCTTCCCACTCCCTCTTCCACCCAGTGGCTCAGAAGGGCCAGGGGTCCCACCACACTTTGAACAAAATCCAAACTTCCAGCAGTGACCTTCAAGCACTTGCCCCACCCAGCCCCACTCACCTTTCTGATGTCCCAGAATTCTCCCTTTGCACCCCTCCAGCCACTGACCTCCCTGCTTCTCAGATAGGCTGAACTCTTTCTGGGTCTGATTTCCTGGCCCCAACCCATCCCCCAGAAACCACCCCTTCCCTACCTGCTGTGAATTAAGTCCCTCCACCATGCCTGTCCCCTCCCTTTCCCCACATCATGCTCTTGGCTGGATAGGCTTGAGCTCACTCTATATTGTTGTAGTCATAGGTTGGCCTGTTTGTGGCCAATCCTGTGTGAGCCCCGTAAGCCCAGGGATCATGCATGTCTTGTCTTGCTCCTTCTGTGTCCCCAGTGCCCGCAGTGCCTGCTCACAGGGAGTATATAATACAAAACTCTGGCTAGGGCTGCCGTGTTTAGTTGCATGGTTTGTGCACTGCACAAAAGAGCTTAAATGAGGGGCAATGGGGGTCAAAATGCAGTCTGTGCACCACTTGCCCAGCTGTGTGCCCTGAGGTGGGAGCTTAGTCCCCCTGGAGGAAAGGGCATCTTTTTCTTTACACAAAGGCCCGCGTGCTTGTGAAGCTTGAAGTCTGCAGGGCTGCCTCACACAGACAGGTGGAATCTTCATCCCTCCCTTAGGGACTGAGATATCTTCTACCGGAGGGATTCAGATTATATACCAGGCAGCCATATCAAAGGTCTGCCCAGTCTCAGGGAAATCAGGGACTGAGGACTGGACCTGGATCTCAACATGCTGGCTGGGTACCCCACAATGTAGCCCTCAAGTTGGGGCAGGTACGGAGCCATGGCAGCATCCCCCAAGAAGCCTCCTGCCCCCCTGTGCTGGCCCTCCTGTCTCTCCCCCTTCTGTGGCTGCTAGAGGGGCCAGTCAGGGGTCAAGGCTGCTCTCTCCAGTGACAGGAGTGACCAGGGACTGGGGCGTGGGGCCTAGGGGAGGGCTGGGGTGAGGCAGTCCTGCAGAGGGTCAGCGCTGACAAGTTCACACACACTATTTCAAAGCATGTGTTCACAGTGTTTGCACACTCTGCATTCCACTACCCTGGGACAAATCCTGGACTTTCTGCCTTCACTGACACTCTGTCCCGGACCATTCTCAAGGGAGGCTAGACCTTGGGGACAAGGGATTCATAACTGTCTGGATAACAGATGAGGAGATCACCAGGGCTCCCAGGGGCCAGAGGCAGGAGCTGGTGTCTCCTTGCCACCGTGTGGGTCATGGTGGTCCTTTCTCTCCCAACTCCCTAAGGGACTTAGAGGGGAAAAAACACTTTATTCCTCTTTCGGAAACACTGCCCAGCGGACAATAGTACAACCAAATGAGGGCACCACCATCCCGATCTCTGCTGGGTGTGCCTGCCACGGTCAGGCTCGAAAAGCATTTCTGACCTCAGTGGAACAAAGACAGTGGGGGGGGCTGTGTGTGTGGCAGGATTATACCTAGACCAGCCTGGCCCAGAGCCCCTGTCACTATGGCCCCGGATCCCCCCCTGCCTTCAAGTGTTTGCCAGGCCCAACACCCACCCATCAGAAACATGTGTCACCGTTACACGTCGTGACGAGTTCCCCACAGAGAGACCCAAATGATCTGCAAAATCAGGTCCCCCTCACACCCTCACCCCACTGACCGTGTCACTGGGCACCAAGGGGCCTGGCTCCTGGTGCTGACCCGACCTCCAGAGCTGAGCAGCTCTTGGCAGGTCATTTCACCTCTCTGAGGTGTCCCCTCAAAGGACAGGTGATTTCTACATTCTGACCTCCGAGGACGTAGGAGACACAGCTCTTTATTTGCAGGTACAGGTGATCTGGGGAGCTGGTCATTCACTGGAGAGTAAATAACAGGTGTATTTGGCCTTTGGGGAGAGCAGTTCCAGAAGCAGGGGCGGCAGGCAGTCTGTGTAGGTGTCTGTGGAGGGGAGGGGGTGGGAGCTGACGGTGCATGCACAGGGCAAGCAGGGGTCTGGGAGGCCAGGGAGGGCATTAGGGAGGAGCCAGGGCGTGAGCTAGACTTGAAGGAGGGGCGGATTGGAAAGCAGGGTGGCGAGTGGGGAGGGGACAGGGTGGTGGGGGGGGCTGCCCTCCTGACTGGGGCAACGACTGATGTCCCCACATCTTTTTATCCTCCACAAAGTGGCGCCCACCTCCAACATTTCATCCAAGTCTGGGTTATCCTTATTATACTATCGTACAACAAGGAAAAGGGCTTGAGGAAGTTCGAGGTCATATCATTGACAAGTGGTATATAGTTCAGCCTCCAGATATTTTGACACCAAATTTGCGTCACTTCCACTGCCCTGCAGCTGCTTCTCTAAAAAAAAAAAAAAAAAAAAGTCCGTGTCTGTCTTGGATGCTGGATGCTGAGCGGCAACAGCCCCTGCTGCTCCCTCCTGTTCCTCAGCGCAAAGGCGCTCGGCTTCCCACTGGCCGCTGGACACCCAGCCTCTTCTTGGAGCCACCCTGTTGTCACTTGTTGGGTCCAGAACTAAGGTTGTTTGGCTGGTTTGGGGGATACTTTTGTAGTTTCATATTTGATTTCATCCCAGTTCAATCGCTTCAAAAGAGGGTTACGTTGATGGATTTCCAGCTGAATCAGATTTGGCTCATTCTGCATTTTCCATGGGAAAATAATCATTGGGCTCAATTCTGAGTGAGGTTCACTCTGCGTTGCCTCAAGTCTCTGCAAGGCCTGGGTCGGCCTTCCTCCCTACTCACTGGGTCTTCATTTGCGTGCCCCTGAAGAGCTCAGGAGCCTCTGATAAGAGCTTAAAATGCAGCCCCAGGGCACATAGTTGGGGTTTTCTTGGGTGTCCACCAATATCCATCCTCTCCATGCTGCCCTTCCTCCAGATCGCCTGGTTTTCTGAGTCCCACCGCAGGCCCAGCAGTGGGGTGGCGGCGGGTGGGGACCTGTTTAGCCTAATCCTATCAGGTCTTGGGTGCTGTTCCCGCCACAGGAGTTGGTGCCTGTCCTGGAACGCCAACCCAGACAGAATGGAAGGACTTGCATTTCACAATGGTGGAAGAGATTCTCTCCCCAGCCGGACAGGAAGCCTGTGGCCCTGTCTGGCGACTACGAGATGAGCCAGTCTTAGAACAAAGTTGACATGGTGGACAGCAGGGTGGAGAGAAAAAAAGGAAACTCTCTCTGGGGACAGTGTCCTCAAGCCACTGAACCAGCCAAGCCTGGTGTCCCACCTCTGCACCGGTGGTCACACAAGCAAGTGTGTGATCGAGTTGGGATCGGGGTCTTTGGGATTTGCAGCCAGGAGCCTTCAGAACTGAGGCACACTGCCTTGTTCTTGAACATCCCAGGACACCACTGCCTCTGGTAAGATGCCATTCCCGCTTCCTGAATGTCTCGGCATCCCGCTGTTGTAAGATCCCGTGTGGCGAGGGCTCCCCGAAGAGGAGAGTGAGTCATGGGCCTTCACTGGGCTGAGAGCAGAGTCTGATGGCTGCTACATGAATCTCTCCAAGTAGGAAATGCAGCAGCTGATTGCCTCTCCTGTCCCCTCGTCCAACCTTATTTACTGCCTTTCAAAAGCCTGGTTCCGCCTCATCTTTCAAGGACATCTATGTTTCCTTTTTTAACAGCTGGAACTTCAGTGCCCAAGAAGCAGAAAAGAGGTTTGGGAGTGAGGGAGGGGGGTGAGTGGGGGGCAAGGTAGGATGGCCGGGAGGAGGGAGGCTTCCCGGGTGGGGGGAGCAGACCCCCAGAGAAGGGCCCATGTTAGAGCCTAACCCTGCAAGGCATGAGGGACAGGATTTGGAAGTGCGGACCCTCCCCCCACTGTCCCTTGAACTCAGGGTGGAAATATGGGCACCAACTGAATCAGGGAGTGTTTCTGGGGACACAGACGTTCAACAATGAGGGAAACGCCCACCTGTGCTGGCATGACCGGTAGGGAGCCAGGAGGCCCCTCTGATGGGTCTCTGCACATTGTCCTGGCCTCGCCTGTCTCCGGGGCCTCGGGCCCCTTGCTCCTGCCTGCAGTGGACTCTGAGCAGCTTCACCATGCTCATGTTCATCCCACTCCCCTCTTGCCACCTGTCGTGGGGTCTCTCAGTGGCAGCTGAGGTGCGTGAGACACCCAGGGACACTCTGGACCCACCCAAGGACAACCCTGATTTGCCAAGACTTAACACTCCATGGGGTAAGGGGCCAGGGTTGGGCAGGGGGGCTTGACCGTAGGGAGCTGGAAGCCAGACCTGAGTTCTTCCCCTCTCCACCTGCCTACCCCTCCCAAAAGTATCTTCAGGCACCTCTGGGAAGATGCCACCTCCGACAATCGCCCCGATGCCAGGGGGTGGCCCGGCTCCGTGACACCCCCTGTGTGTGGCCTCCTCCCCCTCCCTCCTGTGCCCCTTCATACTTCCCGCTGAAGAGCCGGACGGAGGCCTCCAGGCAGGCTCAGCTCTCCCTCATCCAGGCTAAGACAGATGGTGGGGGGAGGGAGGGGCGAGCCTTCATTTAATGAACAAATATTTATTGAGCCCCACTACAGGCCAGGTCCTATGCTAAGTGTCAGGAACACAGAAGTGAACAAGACAGATGCTGTCCTTCCCTTATGGGGCCTGTGTGGGAA